CCAGAGGCTCTCTGCGCTGCTCACCTGCCCAGAGTGACTGGGGCTGGGCGGAAGCCAGGCGTCCTGCCCTGTCCAACCCCAGCCGATCCGCCCCTGTGCGAGCTGCCGCCCCACCGGGAAGGGTCATGGATCCAGGTCCCGGGACCGTGGACAGCCTCAAGCACTGTCCCCTGCCCGGCAGGGTTACAAATCCGGGTCCTGGGACCACAGAAAGCATCAAGCAATGCCCCCCGCCCGCCAGGTCAAGGATCCGGGTCCCAGGACCACGGACAGCCTCAAGCGCTGCCCCCCGCCCGCCAGGTCACCGATCTGGGTCCCAGACCGCCGACAGCCTCAAGCGCTGCCCCCCACCCGGCAGAGTCACAGATCCGGGTCCTGGGACAGCGGACACCCTCCCGTGGTGCCCCCCGCCCGGCAGGGTCACGGATCTGAGTCCCAGGACCGCGGACAGCCTCCCGCGGTGCCCCCCCGCCTGCCAGGTCACGGATCCGGGTCCGGACCACGGACAGCCTCAAGCACTGCCCCCACCCGCCAGGTCACGGATCCGGGTCCGGACCACGGACAGCCTCAAGCACTGCCCCCCGCCTGCCAGGTCACGGATCCGGGTCCGGACCACGGACAGCCTCAAGCACTGCCCCCCGCCCGCCAGGTCACGGATCCGGGTCCCAGACCGCGGACCGCCTCAAGCAGTGCCCCCCGCCCGGCAGGGTCACAGATCCAGGTCCCGGGACAGTGGACAGCCTCCCGCGCTGCCCCCTGCCCGGCAGGGTCACAGATCCGGTCCCAGACCATGGACAGCTTCAAGCACTGCCCCCTGCCTGGCAGGGTCACAGATCCGGGTCCCGGACTGCGGACAGCCTTAAGCACTGCCCCCCGCCCGGCAGGGTCACAGATCTGGGTCCCGGGACCGCGGACAGCCTTGCCCACTGCCGCCAGCCTTCAGTATGCAAATTAGCCGCCATCTTGTTGCTTCAGGGTGGGGGTCCCCACTGGGGTGCCTGGCCAGTCTGGATGAGGGGATGATGGCTGTTTGCAGCTGGTCACACCCCCTTCAGGGAGGGGGTCCCCACTGGGGTGCCTGGCCAGTCTGGGTGAGGGGCTGAGGGCCGTTTTCAGGCTGGCGGGCAACTGAAGCTCCCAACCTCTCCTTTTTTTCTTTTTTCTTTTATTCTGGGATTTATTTACTTTCTATGGCTGTCACTGGAGTTGAGAGCCGGCTTTAGCTCTGAGGCTCGGCTGCAGCTCTGAGACCTCGGCTGCAGCTCTGATATCTCGCTGCTGAAAGCAGGTACTGGGTTTGTTTGGGTTCTATAATTGAAACACTGTTGCGGTCCTGCTGGCTGAAGCCCTGCTGGCTGAAAGCAGGTTTCTGGAGTTTGTTTAGCTTCTATACTTGCAATATTGTTTCTTAGAGTGCAAGCTCAGAGGCTGGCAGCTGCAGGCCGGGAACCTTGGCTTTCTCCATCACTGGAGCAAGCAACCCTCCTGTTCGCTTCAGTGCCTGGCTGCCGGCCGCCATCTTGGTTGGCAGTTAATTTGCATAAGGATATGCTGATTAGCCAATGGGAAGGGTGTCAGGGTTATGGTCAATTTGCATGTTTCTCTTTTATTAGATAGGATGCTAGTGACCTGGTGCACGGATTTGTGCACATTGAAGGGAAATTAATTAGAAAATGGCCGGTTGGGTGGGACTGGGTGAGACAGGGCTGCCCTGGAGCCAACCTCCCGCGGTCCCTCCCTGGCCAGCCGCACCTGGGGTGGCGCTGTGGCTCGAAGGGCTTCTGCAGAGTAAGTGAGGTCTCTCCAGCGGTGGGGTCCCTCAGCCTGGCCTGCGGGGATAGGGCCGAAACCAGCTCTCTGACATCCCCCGGAGTGTGAGAGGGCACTCTGCAAAGTTGCTGTTGTACAGGGTGTGGAATGCAAATGCAAGTGTGCAGTAAACCAGATTCGGGGCTGACAGTGCTCCAGCAACAACATAACCCATGGCTGAAGGTGGAATCGCATGGCCCCTTGAGGAATCAGGCTCCCTCCTCTCTGGTTTTGGGGTGCGTCACCTGAGAACAGCCACTGCCAAGTCACTGCAGTTTGGCAGCTCCTGTGTTGAGCATCTGCCCCCTGGGGGTCAGTGCCTGTCATAACGACTGGTTGGACAGTCGGAGGGACACTTAGCATATTAGCCTTTTATATAGATTGCTTATTCAAGATAAATTGATTATTGTGCTTTATTCATGACTTACAACTTTATCTATCATAATGTTCATTAATGCTCAATAGTTTTTCAGTAACATTTTTTAGTGATAGCCCAGTAAGTCAGTTGCTTAGTTTCTTTAACTGAGTCACCATAAATTGTCCTTCTTTTTTTAAAATATATTTTTTTTATTGATTTCAGAGAAGAAGGGAGAGGGAAGAGATAGAAACATCAATGATGAGAGAGAATCATTGATTGGTCGCCTCCTGCATGCCCCACACTGGGGATCGAGCCGGCAACCCGGGCATGTGCCCTGAGGGGGAATCGAACCACAACCTCTTGGTTCATAGGTCGGGCACTCAACTGCTGAGCAATGCCGGCCAAGCTAAATTGTCTTTCTTGGCCAACAGTTGGTTTGTGGGATGTTTTTTGTGTGTGTGTATGTGTGTGTGTGTGTGTGTATGTGTGTGTGTGTGTGTGTGTATTTTTTTTATTTCAGAGAGAGGAAGGGAGAGGGAGAGAGAGAGAGAGAGAAACATCAATGATAACCATTGATCGGCTGCCTTGTGCACAGTCCCTACTGAGGATTGAGCCTGCAACCTGGGCATGTGGCCTGACCAGTTATCGAACCATGACCTCTTGGTTCATAGGTTGACGCTCAACTATTGAGCAACACCAGTAAGGCTGGTTTGTGTTTTTAAAGGTTATTTGCAAATTGGTTTGAAATTCATAATTTTTTACCTGACTTTATTTATAAGAAAAGGAATGCTATTTATCTTTGTGCCTCCAATGTCTGGTCTATCTTTGTTACATTATGTGTGTTTAGAAATAGTTTTTGAATTGTTGATATAATCTGTAACAGCCTTTTGAACCCATAGTATGTCTGCTTTGCTGAGGAGACGTTTGCAGGTTATGTTTGCAGTAGGTCAGTAAGAAGCTATCAGCTGTTTTCAAAATTGAAAATTTAGTGCATGGTGGTATTATTTAACTTTGGAATTTCAAAGTATTTGAAAACATAATACATAGATCAGATGGCATGAAACTTGGAGTAAAGGAACATTACCAAGAGGCAGTGCTATTTAATGGTTAAAGTCCAATTTGGAATAAGACAGACCTGGATTTGAATCCCGACTTTGGCATAGTCTTGCCACTAACTAGGAAGTGAGGAAATGAATATGTGCACATCTGGGGAAAGAGCATTCTAGGGGAGCAGCAAATTACCAGAGTCCTGCTGGTGTGTGAAGAGCAAGGAGCCATTGGGCTAGATTGGAGGAGCTGAGTGGAACAGTTGTAAGAGATGACATCAGAGAGATAACAGAGTCATATCAAGAATGGCTTTTTAGATCATTGGAAGGACTCAGGCTTTTGCTCTGGTTCAGCTGGAAAGACATTGAGAGTTTTGACAAGAGACCCAGTAATAGGATCTGATATTCGTTACTGCTTGGATCAGGGCAGTAAGGGTGAAAATGATAAAAACGGTTTGGAGTTTAGGTGTATTTGATTTTAGGGATATGATTATCAGGTATGGGATTTATTGTTTTGTGAAAATCATCACACTATTAGGTTAAAGCAAAGTCAGTGTGTGTCTTCTGAAATAGTTTAACTTTTAAGAAGACTACCAAATTCCTAGGGTGTGTGAGTAGTGGGTGGAAAATCACATTGTTCCTGTTTGCCTTCATTTGTTCTTGGCCTCACTAATCATACTATACTTCCCATTATTATTTTTCCAGCTACTACTTATATGCTGAATGTTCAAGGTGACAAAAATTTTAATCTCTCTAATATCACCTCTTAATCACTTTGTAATGTGAGGTATTATATCTGGGCTTTCAACTGAATACTGTAATTGCTTAGGACAGCGGTTTTCAACCTGTGGGTCGCGACCCCTTTGGCGGTCGAATGACCCTTTCACAGGGGTCGCCTAAGACCATCCTGCATATCAGATATTTACATTATGATTCATAACAGTAGCAACATTACAGTTATGAAGTAGCAACGAAAATAATTTTATGGTTGGGTCACAACATGAGGAACTGTATTTAAAGGCCAGAAGGTTGAGAACCACTACCTTAGGAGGATTGTCTGCATTGATAATGGATAGTAGAGAGCCAGCTAAGCTTAATTGTATATTTATTGATTCTTTTAACCTTCCTGAACTCTAGATAAACATTCAGTTTTTTTCTTTTAATCCTCACCTGAAGATATGTTTTTATTGATTTTAGAGAGTGAGGAAGGGAGAGAGAGAAAATAAATATCAATGTGAGAGAAACATCGATCATTGCCTACTGTACACTCTCCGACCAGGGATTGAACCCAAAACCTAGGTATGTGCCCTGACTGGGGGGAATGGAACCCGTATTCCATTCTAGTTAAACTATTTCAATAGCCACACATTGACTTTGCTCCAACCAAATGAGTCACCTGGCCAGGGCTCTTTTTTATTTTATTTTATTGGACAGCTTCATATTTTCTAGGCATTTCAAATTCTGTATGATTTTGAGTCTTCTCTACATTAGAAGGAGAAAAATCTATGATGGTCAGTGTATATCAACTAAACTCTTCAGAATAAATGAGGTGATAATTACCATTTATTGAGTATCTACTGTAAGCCAGGAACTGTGGGCTTACTGGGGAGAGGGCAGGAGAGGGGAGATATTGACCCTCTTGCAAAGAAAAGCTCCTAGCTTGTTTCTGTTATCTTTGCTCCAAATAGCTTATGGCAATAGTTTATTTGATTAAAAATCATATTTAATTAGAATTCAGTGACTTTTAAAAACCAGATTACTTATACTCAATATGTTTGTGCTTGTAGGAGCTGACTAAGGCCTTGGAACAGAAACCAGATGATGCACAATATTATTGTCAAAGAGCTTATTGTCACATCCTTCTTGGGAATTACTGTGGTAACTTTTCTTACAAAATATATTGTTTCTTCTTTAAGTGTTAATTATAAATTTTGCCCATGATACAATGAATCAAGTAAAATAGAGATTATCTTTGAGGATTTTTAAATTGGTCTTTCATACAAGGTGAAGTAGCTGAAATGTGACAAACTATGTTAAGCAATAACCATTTAAATTTTATGGATATCCCTTCTTCAGTGGGTAGAGAATTTATACAGATTTCATTTGTGGTTATTGGATATGCTAACAGATTAGCATCGTATTTACTGTTTTACAGAGTATTTAAATGAAATGTTCTTATTTGCATTTTTTATAAGGAATGTATTTCTTTATTACTTGTTTAACTTTAATTAGTCTGGGTAGGGAAAAATTAAATACCTTGAGTCAAATTGCATGAATGATGTTAATGAGAAAATTAGGTGAGCTTTGTAACACACAGCTTTATTCACTGACTGAGAGCTTTATAAAGGAAGTTAAATACTAGACTAATAGGAAGATATGAGGGTAATATTTATTGGGTTATATCTTGAATTAGCTTTTCCTAATTTAAAACCACTTGTCCATTTTACCAACTTAAAAACATAAACCTGATTCAAATTTTATGTGTAATATTTGTTAGGATCTGTAAAAAGCTGACAAAAATTTTTTTTTTTTAATATATATAGATGCTGTTGCTGATGCAAAGAAATCTCTTGAATTTAATCCATATAATCCCACTGCTATGCTGAGAAAAGGGTATGCAATAACTATTCTTTTTGTTGGATCTGGACAATTGATAGGTGTTTAAATTGTTGAATGAATTAGTGGTAAGCTTTATATAAATAGTAAATTCTGTATTCATACATTGTATAGCTGAGATAGGATTCAATTTTAAATATAATTTATGTTTCTATTATTGTATTAACTGCAGTATGTGATAGGAGATGTATATGTAGTATATTTTAAAATAGTGAAGATTGAAGTAACTGCAAGGTATAGATTAAACTGTTCATTATTTTGAATTTACTGCCTTTGACTAGAGAACATTTATTCCTCAACCAAGTTGGACAGGAGGCTACATTTAGTGCTATGAAAACTCTCTATCTGTGTATTATTTTACTGCTACTGTTGATTTCCCAGCTTGCTTCTGTTGATGGGACTTTCCTTTAATTAAGAAACTTCTTTAATTCCTTTTTATAACTATGTTTTGGAATAAGCAAGTGTATACAATTAAAAGCAAGAAATTCCTTCTGATATGGATTCTAAAATTGGATATTAATGGGAATTAGAAGTTACATAGATTATTTTAGAAAACAATAGTAGGATATATTTAAGAAAGAATGCTATTTTTCATAATCTCATGTGTGTGGCATTTATTTTTAATATGTTCATACAGGATATGTGAATACCATAAAAAAAACTATGCTGCTGCTCTGGAAACATTTACAGAAGGACAGAAATTAGATAGTAAGTATTGGAATTATAAGTTGATCCATTTATTTCTTTTGTTTCTTAAATACTGTAGCTGAATTTTGTTGGTGTGATCTCAATTATGGAAACCCAATTCCATTATTTTTCCTTTTAGTGGTATTTTGTGTTGATTGCAGAATTTGGGTTTACTTAGATATTGATTAAATTGGCCTTTCTTTAGTATTTAAATCCCTGATAAGCTTTACCATTAGAAGCTATTTTTTCCTAATAGACAAGTTGCCGGGTTCTTGTTTCAGCATTAAAAAGGGTTCAGCAATCTGGAAAAGGGGCTGTGTGTAACTTAAGAGTCCAGTGACAAAATATAATTCTGAAAGGCATTGGGGGTCAGAGGAGCCTAGCTAAAGAAACTAAGTTCTCTCCGTCTCAGGACCCCATGCTTTTTATTAACACAAATTGTCCTGAGGTGAGGCAGAGATATATACTTCAAAGGGTAGGTTTCATTTACAGAGTCCATTGTCAGATTTGAGGAAATGTTAGCCTACAGCTATTCAGGTGTTTGGCCAGTAGGAGGCAATAACATGTAGATTAAGATGCCCTGGGCTGTCTGGCAGCAAACAATCAATTTAATGCATCCTTTTCAGGTTTGGGGAAATGCCATCAGCCATTCCCAACAGGTGACATATGTGACTCGGCCCTTGTTGAGTCCCCAAGTTCCATCAACCTTTTGATGAAACTCTTGCAATTATGACATGCTGGAATTGGCTTCCGGCAACAAGTGAAAGTTTAATTCGTTCTGATGTTCAGAAGTCTATTTATTTTAAGTGTTATTCAGATTACTGATTCAGGAAATCTTATAACAAAGATTTCTATTGAGAAGTGAAGTGTTAGTTTAAGTAAATTGTGATACAGGGCACGGAAGAAACATGGACCTTTGAGAGTGTTGTATTTCATGTCTTTTAAAAGAATTTTTAAAATTTTATTTTTTTAGAGAGTGAGAGGAAGGAAGAGAAAAAACACACACACATAGATGTGAGAGCAAAATATATGATAGCCTGCCTCCTGCACACCCCCTACCGGGGCTTGAGCCCAAAAACTGGGCATGTGTCCTGACTGGGAATCGAACCAGCAATCTTTAGGTGCACAGGATGATGCCCACCCAACTGAGCCACACTGACCAGCGCTAAGGTCATCTTTTTGAGAGAAATGCAAGTTTTCCCTGCCATTTGAAAGTAAAGCCATCCCTATGAAACTTTATAAGCCAGAATGGTGTAAAGTGAAGAAGTAATTATCATTGATATATATGCAAAGTATTTTGAGTATTCCCAGTCCCAAAAAATAACATACCAAATAATACATACAACCTACAATAATAGATAGTAAAAGCAGCAATGATATGATAAATACACAGCTTGTATAAGGTAGAAATAATATTTGTGCTGTGTAGTTTCACTTATTAAAAAGACTTGACTGATTTCTCATGAAGTATATGATAACAGAACACCACATTTTGTACACCTATCACTCAAACAATAATCTTCATTTCATCTATACTGGGTGCCAGCTACTTTGTTATTAGCAGAACCAATAGTCACTTTGGCACCTTTCAAGTTTCCTTCTCTCTCTGTGGTGGACGCAGGCAGGTTCAATGTACATAGAATGTCTTTGTTTTGTTCATCACAATCAACATCCTTAATTACGTTCTGTTTTATGCTAAGTGCACAAACACCCTTACAAGCTCTCGTAGGGTTTTCTAATACCTTAAGATACATCTTGCTAACAGATACACAAAATAAATAGAGATAAAGCACAGATGCGTACAGACATAGTTTAAAGCCATGGAAGGTCAATGCTGAGATGCTGATTAGTTCCTGGGGAAGGTGATTGGTGAGAGCACACTACCTCTATAATGGCTCATGCAAAACAAACAGTGAATGCTATTTTCACTTTTTGTGTAAAAGCGAAAATCCTACTTGGATTTTCTTTTCATTTAGCAAACACAAGTAATAATATAGGTCTTCTGTAAAAGCAGTGGCATACTGTGAATTTTCGAAAAGCAAGGGATACCTATATATGAAAATTATCACAGCAGTATGGCTATCTGGACATATATAGAAGTAAGAGCCAAGAACAAAAAAACCTGCAAAATACTAAAAGACAGTGGTTGTAAATAATCTCATAGATAATTGTAGACTCATGACCTTAATTGTGTACTGTCATTTTATCTTCATCTTACGATAGAGTGTTATCACAATTCTCTAAAGCAATGGCTCCTAACTTCCTGATTTTGATTTTGCTCCCTGGGGAACATTTGGCAATGTCTGGAGAGATTTTTGTTTATCATGACAAGTGGATGGGGAATGTGCTACTCACATCTGGTGAGTAGGGACCAGGGATGCTGCTAAATATCCTGCAATGCACACGACAGTCCCCCACAACAAAGAAATATCTTGTCCAAAATATTAGTAGTGCTGAGCTTGAGAAACACTGCTCTAAAATATTGTATGATTATATTTTTAAAAATTTACTCTATACTGCTTTGAGTATTTGCTTTTCTGTTGTATACCTACTTGAGAAACGGCATTAGGCCAGACTTTGCAAATGGAACCTACAAATTAGGAAGGAAGAGATCTAGGCAATAGGAGTTATTCTCAAATTTGGTTATCCCAAGTGTGATGCTTGAATAATATGGCTGGCTATTCAGTTAGCAAATCACTCAGCAAATTCTAGAGTCTAGTGCCTTGATGTGTGTTTGAAAACCCTAGAGAGACATGAGTCATTTCATCTTCTAGATTTCTAAGCTCTGTTTCTTATCTTTAGCAACTGAAGATTCTCTGCCTAAATTCCTTCTTTGAATAAATTATGCTTTGATTATATTAGAATTATTTCAGAGGTGGCCTCAGAAGAAGTTGTCTTCTCTTTGGTAAAATTGCTGTTGAGGATATTTAATTTAAAAACAAATTAGTCTTTTAATTAAATTCTAGGAAAAATTAAAGTATTAGGCTTCTGTTATTATCAGAGAGGATAAAACATTTATGACTCATAATATTAACCCCTCTCCCCTTTATATGGTAGGAAGTTTGGCTTATTTATTGATTACTTTGAATAAAAGGTTATTTAAATCTAGGATTTTGATGTAATTATTCCCCACTAGAATGAATGTGTGGGTGTGTATCAAGACCTATATAGTTGCATTCCACTTAGAAATTAAATTATAGAAATTAGAAATTATTAGAAAACTTTATTGTAAGAAATTTTTAATCCTTATTTTTCAGAATTATCTTGCCTGCAATTAGTTTGAATTAGTAAATGTTTATTTAAGAGTACTTTTAATAATTTTTCCTAACATATTTTATTAGATTCTGTGATTTTAGCGATTGTCATTGTTCTGAAACTTCAGAAGTGAATAATTTATATACATGATCACATTGCTATCTGTAAATACACAGTTCACTAACTATAGATAGTTCTTGGCTGCCTTGGAACTTGGAATGAAAAAACTTCACAAAGTATAAAGATGCTTCTTGGTGTTGGAGGATAGGCATGGTAAGGAGTAGAGCCACCGAGAATAGACAGAGTAGGTAGGTAGCTTCATTGGAGAGCAAACGGGTTGAGAGAGGCTTCTAGACCACATTCCAGCTGCTGGTTATTAAGCCTCCACCCCTTTCTAACATGTTGGGAATCTTTTTTGGGTCTGATTTTCCTTAGTGAGAGAGGAAGACGCTCCTTTAAGAGGAGAGGGGTGAGGGAAAATGTACGTTATATCTGGGAACTGGTAAGGTTGACTGGTTAAAATTAAATTTAAAATAATTAGAATTCTTCAGGATGAACAGCTAAATATTAAACCTGTTGGTATATTTATAGCTATAACATTAGGATTGCTGCAAGCTCTGTTAGGATAGGTATTTTTGTCTGTTTAATTCACTGCTGAATCCTCAGGGCCTACAGCACTGTTTGGAACATAGTAGGTAGTCAATAAGTATTTCTTGAGTAATATGTTAGATTTGCAGATGAGTGATTTTACAGTCAGTTTGCTCTTTCTAGGTGCAGATACTGATTTTATTGTCTGGATTAAAAGGTGTCAAGAAGCTCAGAATGGTAAGTATGTAGATTTCTCATGGTCTTTCAATTTAAAAAGGAGTAAATGGTCAACATTTTTTATTTAATCAAATTTGTTTTTTACTTTATACCTTGTAAATAATGCATGTTCCCTTAGATAGGAACTTCCAAAGGTATTCTTTAAAAAAAAATTTATAGCAGCTTTATTGAAATAGAATTCATATTCTATAAAACTTACCCATTTAAAGTGTAAAATTAAATGATTTTTAGTATATTCACGGAATTGTTCAACCATCAAAAAAATTGTGTAACCATCACCATAATCAATTTTAGAACTTTCATCACTCTCTAAAGCAGCGGTTCTCAACCTGTGGGTTGCGACCCCTTTGGGGGTCGAATGACCCTTTCACAGGGGTCGCCTAAGACCATCGGAAAACACATATATAATTACATGTTGTTTTTGTGATTAATCACTATGCTTTAATTATGTTCAATTTGTAACAATGAAAATACATCCTGCATATCAGATATTTACAGTACGATTCATAACAGTAGCAAAATTACAGTTATGAAGTAGCAACGAAAATAATTTTATGGTTGGGGGTCACCACAACATGAGGAACTGTATTAAAGGGTTGCGGCATTAGGAAGGTTGAGAACCACTGCTCTAAAGAAACCCCTAACCTTTAGCACTCTTTCTTCTCCATTGTCTCCTAACCCTATTGCTCCCCAGCCTTAAGAAAGCACTAATTTACTTTTTGTCTCTATGGATTTGCCAATTCTGGACATATACATCATATATGTGTGTGTGTGTGTGTGTGTGTGTGTGTATGTGTGTGTGTGTGTGTGTGTATATATATATATAAAAATAAATAAATGGCTAATATACCAAGTGTCCCCTCGGGAGTTCAACTGGGAGTTTGACTGCTTGCTATGACGTGCGCTGACCACCAGGGAGTGGCACAGAATGAAGGAAGACCCTGGTCAGCAGCTGGCAGCTAGAGAAGGGAGGCCCTGGCCAGCAGCCAGAAGGCCCCGATTGGCACTGATCACCAGCCAGGCCTAGGGACCCCCGAATTTCGTGCACCGGGCCTCTAGTTTTATACAAATGGAATCATACAGTATATGGTTTTTTGTGACTGGCTCCTTACACTTAGCATAATGTTTTCAAGGTTCAGGTTCCAGTGACTGCCTGACCTACCCCAGTATTCAACTTAAAAAATAGGCATAACCTGTAAAGTGCTAGACCCTTCTCTCTTTGGTGATGGGTTGCATCCTCCTGGGGGCTGTCATGCACCCACACAACTTGGGCCCTGTTTTTGTGAGCAGGTTCTCTCCTCATTCCCTTCAGTATGTTCCTGACAATGCCCAGGTCATTTGACTCCTACTCTCCCAAGGAGCGTCTGAGAAGCTGGTTTTTGCTAAAGCTTTTTTTTTAATCGTTAAAAAATTTTTCAATTATAGTAGACATACATTATTATATTAGTTTTAGTTGTACACCTCGGTATATAACTTACTAGATGATTATCCCAATAAATCTTGCATCCATCTGACTTATTAGAGTATTATTGATTACATTCTCTAGTCTATACTTTATATCCCTATGACTATTCTGTAACAACTAATTTGTACTTCTTAATCTATTCACCTTTTTCACCCATCTGCCCAGTGCCTCCTAACCCTCTAATCTGGCAACCATCAAAATGTTATCTATATTTATGAATCTGTTTCTGTTCTGCTTGTTTATTTTGTTTTTTAAATTGTTGATAGATGATTGTTGATTAATTGCCATCTTATTGTTCATATTTTTATCCTTTTTTCTTCTTCTTCTTAAAGAAGACCCTTTAACATTTCTTATTATACTGGTTTAGCTTTTTCTTGTCTGGGAATCTCTTTGTCTGTCCATAGATTCTAATGATAGCTTTGCTGGGTAGAGTAATCTTGGTTGTAGGTCCCTGCTTTTCATCACTTTGAATGTTTCTTTCCAATCCCTCCTGGCCTGCAATGTTTCTGTTGAGAAATTAGCTAACAGTCTTATGGGAGCTCCCTTGTAGTTAACTGACTGCTTTTCTCTTGCTGCTTTTAAGATTTTCTGTTTGTCTTTAACATTTTGCATTCTAATTTTGTGTCTTGGTGTGGGCTTCTTTGGGTTCATCTTGTTTGGGACTCTCTGTCCTTCTTGGACTTGTATGTCTATTTCCTTCACCAAGTTAGCAATGTTTTCTGTCATTATTTTTTCAAATAGGTTTTCAATTTCTTGGTGTCTCTTCTCCATTTGGCGCCTCTATGATGTGAACATTGTTATGCTTGAAGCCGTCCCAGAGACTCCTAATAGTATCTTCATTTTTTAAAATACTTTTTTCCTTTTGCTGTTCTGATTATTTTTTGTTTCTTATCCTCCAAATCTGATATGGTCCTCAGCTTGATCTACTCCACTGTTGATTTTCTGTAATATATTTTTCATTTCAGTTAATGTATTTTTTATTTTTTACAGTTGTTTTTTTTTAAAATTAAATCTTTATTGTTCAGATTATTACAGTTGTTCCTCTTTTTTCCCCCCATAGCTCCCCTCCACCCGGTTCCCACCCCACCCTCCGCCCTCAACCCTCCTCCCCCACTGTCCTCATCCATAGGTGCACGATTATTGTCCAGTCTCTTCCCGCATCCCCCACACCCCTTTCCCCCCTAAGAATAGTCAGTCCATTCCCTTTCTATGCCCCTGATTTTATTATAATCAACAGTTTATTCTGTTCATCAGATTATTTATTCACTTGATTTTTCGATTCACTTGTTGATAGATGTGTAGTTGTTGTTCATAATTTGTATCTTTACCTTTTTCTTCTTCTTCCTCTTCTTAAAGGATACCTTTCAGCATTTTATGTAATACTGGTTTAGTGGTGATGAACCCCTTTAGCTTTTCCTTATCTGTGAAGCTCTTTATCTGACCTTCAATTCTGAATGATAGCTTTGCTGGGTAAAGTAATCTTGGTTGTTGGTTCTTGGTATTCATCACTTTGAATATTTCTTGCCACTCCCTTCTGGCCTGCAAAGTTTCTGTTGAGAAATCAGCTGACAGTCGTATGGGTACTCCCTTGTAGGTAATTGACTGTCTTTCTCTTGCTGCTTTTAAGATTCTCTCTTTGTCTTTTGCTCTTGACATTTTAATTATGATGTGTCTTGGTGTGGTCCTCTTTGGATTCCTTTTGTTTGGGGTTCTCTGCGCTTCCTGGACTTGTAAGTCTATTTCTTTCACCAGGTAGGGGAAGTTTTCTGCCATTATTTCTTCAAATAGGTTTTCAATATCTTGCTCTCTCTCTTCTTCTGGCACCCCTATAATTCGGATGTTGGTACACTTGAAGCTGTCCCAGAGGCTCCTTACACTATCTTCGTATTTTTGGATTCTTTTTTCATTTTGCTTTTCCGGTTGGGTGTTTTTTGCCTCTTCGTATTTCAAATCTTTGACTTGATTCTTGAGATCCTCTGGTCTGCTGTTGGGAGTCTGTATAATATTCTTTATTTCAGTCAGTGTATGCTTAATTTCTAGTTGGTCCTTTATCACAACATCGAGGGTCTCACTAGATTTCTTGAGGGTCTCATTAAGTTTATCGGCGGTTTCTAGAAAATTCTTGAAAAACCTTAAAAGTGTGGTTTTGAACTCTATATCCAGTAGTTTGCTTTCCTCCATTTCTGTCATTTGTGTCCTGTTTCTTTGTCTCGGCATTTTTTTTATGCTTCACTGTGTGGATAGAGTGGCTTTCTGTGCTAGGTGTCCTATAGGGCCCAGTGGCTCAGCCTCCCCAGTTACCTGAGGTAGACACTCTTGGTGCACCCCTTTGTGGGCTGTGTGCACAGTCTTGTTGTAGTTAAGCCTTGATTGTTGTAGGTAACACTGGGAGGAATTGACCTCCAGGCCAATTGGCTGTGAGAATCAGCTCTGTCTACAGTGGGAGAACTTCTGTGCTGAAGACACCCTTCTGGGGCGGGACTTGCTTCAGTGGGGCTTTGGTGCTCACTGAATCTGCCCCCTGAGTGTGTCCCTTATGGATCTGAGGAGTTGTAATTGGATGGTCCCACTCTGACCACTGGGTACACTGGCTCTTGGATCTAAGGAGGTGCTAATCTAGCCTCTGCCTGAGGCTACCCAGCAGAAGCCAGCTGTAAAGCAATGCAAGTTGCCGTGGGGCCTTGGGCCAGCTGCAGTTTGTTAAGTAATTTTCAGATTATAAAGGGCCGGGCCTTTCATATGCAAAAGCCTCAGGGCACAGCTTGGGTGGGGCGGGGCCCCAGGGGATCAACAGGGCGAGCGGAGCGAGCAGTATGGCTGCTCTCAATCCTGCCCTCAGAGGCCCTGGCAATCGCTGTGAGTGCCTCTGAGAGAAAGCTGCCCTCGAGTTCCGACCGATGCCAGACAGTCCAGTTTCTCCCATATGAGTCTGGGTCCCCAGAGACTCGCCCAGAAATGGAGCTCAGAGCTTGAGACTCCCTCCCGATTGAAAAAGACAATCGTGTCCTCAGCCGCCAGCCCTCTCCGCATGCACCTACACACCTTTGTATTTTACTTCCGCACCGCACCTCCTCTGAGTCTCGGTATGCTTTTCTCTTTCCTTCTAGTTGTAGAATTTCCACTCAGCCAGCCTTTCTGTGGTTCTGGATGGTGTCCGTTCCGTCTTTTAGTTGTATTTTTGAAGTGGTTGTGCGAGGCAGCAATCTCCGGTGTTTACCTATGCCGCCATCTTGGTTTTCTTCCTACAGTTTTTTTTTTTTTTATATTTTCTATCTCCATTTTTATGTTTCCTATCTGTTTGTTGAAGCTCTCACTAAATTCTTCTCCTCTTCCCCTAAGTTCATTGAGCATCCTTATAAAGAGTGATTGAATTCTGCATTTAGTAGATTGCTTGTCTCCATTTTGTTTAGTTCTTTTTCTGGCGTTCTGATCTTTTCTTTCATTTAGGATATGTTTCTTTGTCTCATTTTGGCAGCCTCCCTGTGTTTCTATGTATTAGATAGAGCTGCTGCATCTCTCCAGCTTGGTAGAGTGGGCTAACATAGTAGGTTTTCTGTAGAGTCCAGTGGCATAGCCTCCCTGATCACCCAAGTTGGGCACTGAGGTGCACCCACCATGTGGGCACTGTACACCTTCCTCTTGTAGTTGAGTCTAATTGCTGTTGACACATCAATGGGAGGGATTTTCCCCCAGGCCAATCAGCTGCTAGGGCTGGCTGCGACCTCGATCACGGTGGAGAATCATCTGTGCAGGGGCCCACCCCACAGGACTTAATTCAGTGGGTCTCTGGTGCCTGCACAATCCCTCCCTTTGGTGTTTTGCTTCTGGACGTGGTTGGGTGATAGTGCTGCAATGTGGTCTGAAGCTATTCAGTGGGTGTACTGGCTCTGGGGCCTCCAGGAGGTGCCGGCTAAGGTTAACTACCACCTGTGTTCTGCCTGGGGTCACCTGGTGTGTGCTACAAAGTGATACCCAGATATTGCTACTTGTGCTGGGTTTGAAGGTATCCAGGTGAGGTTAAGCTGGCTACTGCTAGTTCTGAGCCTGGTATCACTTAGCGAGAGGTATGGGGCTCACTGAGGTAAGATACTGCTTGTTTGAGAGATTTTTAGGAAAATCTGAAACATGAGCCAAGACAGGTCATTCATATGGAAAAATCAATGGAAACAGCTTGGGTGGGCCAGAAAGTTGAGTGAGCAGGGCCTCAGAGAATTATCAGTGGGGGGCAAACAGTGAGAACCAGGTTGATAGAATCTGAGATGTGGTCCCTGCTTGCCAGATCTGTGAGGGAAGGGCTCATCAAAGGAATAATGGCTTCTGCCAACAGTTCAGTCTGGGAAAAAGACACCCCCCTCCCCGCATCTTGCCAGGCAATTCAGTTCCTTCCCGTAAGTCTCTGGTGCTTTGAGGCCTTTCAAGCTGCTGGCCTGGAGCTTAGAGGGAGTGAGTTCCAGTAATTGTGCACAGACCCTTTAAGAGGAACTGCCTGGTGCTCCAGCAGCCCTCATCTCCCTCAAGTATCAATTCCTACCAGTTTTTTTCAGCCAGAAGTTATGAGAACTTCTCTTCCTAGCACTGGAACTCTGGGCTGGGGGTCCTGGTGTGGGGCTGGGACCCTTTGCTCCTCAGAGGGGACCTCTGCAACTGAGATATCCCTCCCAATTTTTATCTGCTACATGTAGTTGTGGGACCAACCCATTTGCCATGTCCACTCCTCCTGCCAGTCTTGATGTAGCTGCTTCTTTAATTCCCCAGGTGTAGGATTTCCATTCAGCCAGATTTCAGGCGGTTCTGAATGATGGTTGTTCTGTAGTTGTAATTTTTATGTGGTAGGTGAGTACTGCCTTTACCTACACTGCATCTTGACTGGAATTCTTCCAAAGGTATTCTGAGTTTGCTATGTTGAAAGGAGGTGTGGATGAATTTGTGTTGCAATGGTATCACTGGTATGCAATTACTAAGGAGTTAAAATTAAACCAGGATGCAAAATTAAACCACTTTTTAAAATTTAGAATGTATGGAGAATTGGTTTGCTTAATCAGTATGTGTGTGCCATAGAAATCATGTATATAACTTTACCTATAAATGCAGTTATCTGAAAATGTTTCTTTTTTATGTTTTTTAATAGAGTCACAATTAATGGCGGTAAGTCCAAAGTTTTTATTTTTCATGTTTTTACTTAATTACATTATTGCCTTGCATATTTGAGACAGGATAAAGATCAGAATGATCTTTCTCTCAGTTAAATATTAAGCAATACAATTTAAATACTTGTTTATTTAGTAACTGAAGTAACATTGGTGAAAAAAGTATAGAAGTTTTTTTTTTTTAATTGTTTTTATTGATTTATAGAGATTTGAGAGAGGGTGGGAGGGGGTAAGGTGGGGTGGAAGGGAAGAGAGAGAGAAACATTGATCAGCTGCTTTCTGCATGCCCCCTACCAGGGATTGAGCCTGCAACCCCGAACATTGCCCTGAATGGGAATTAAACCCATGACGTACATGGGATGACGTTCAACCAACTGAGCCACACCAGCCAGGGCAGTATAGGAATTTATAGTCTTGAAAATTACTGGGCTCTTTTAAGGCATTTAGTGTGGTTCTAGTTGATTTGGTATATTTTAGTATGGTCAGAGTGATTAGTTATTTTCTCTGCTGAAAAGCAACAATTTAGGTTAGTTAATTTCTGCCTTGGAAGTACTTGCAGGGCTTGTTATGGTATGCTAAAACACAAAGATTAAAATTTGGAAATGTTTATCTCTATCTAACTTAGTTTTATGTTGTTTTGGATATGAAAATATTCAAGTTTTTTCTGTTATTACAAATTATAGTAGAGTTGTTCAATTTTTGTTTTAACCAACTTAGGTTTATATATAAAACCATAGTTAAATTATGGTTAATGGTTTTTAGGAGTGATCGTCTACATATTTAGTCAAGAAATAAAATGACAAGGAGTTAGAAGATATGTGTGTAGTCCTAACTCTTCATAGACAATCACTTAACCTTTTTCAGTATTTCTTTTTCATCCATAAAGGAAGATTTACATTTCTGTCTTCTAGAATTACACTGTGACATTGAGAAAGTCACTTGTCCTTTGAGCTTTCTTCATGTGTATACTGGGCCTCATAGAGCAAATCTACTCAGGCAGGCTGTTGTGGGCATCAGGCCAGTTATGCGCATATGTAGTGACTAGATTTTTGAACATCACCAAAAGTGAGCAATATCTGGCTATTCTCATGTCTCTAGGCTTGTTCATATTCCTAGGGGTGATGAGTAGGTAGGGAATGGATTGAAGGAGCTGTTTAAAAGTTGGCTTTCTTCACCTAGTAGTATTTTTGTCCAGGCCTTATAATGTTTGGAATTGGGATTATGTCTGAAAACAACAGTGGAATTTGAATAACAAAGACTGTCTAGTAACACAAACAGCTTAGTCACAGTGCTTGTTATCACTGCTATACAGTGGGGCCTTGACTTACGAGTTTAATTAGTTTCGTGACGGAGCTCATGACTCAAATTACTCGTATGTCAAATCATAAAATGAACGAGTGAGACACGTGATGCTGGGCTGATGTTGTGGCATTCACTGTGACGTTCGCTGTGCCAACTAGCGGTGGGGTATCTGAAGCTGGCTCATAACCCGAATTTTAGCTCTCAACCAAAGCAAAAAGTCGGCCGAGAGACGGCTCGTATCTCGAAAAACTCCTTAGTCGGGACACTCGTAAGTCAAGGCCCCACTGTAGTTCAATCTAGTTTTATTTTTATTTTTTTAAAATATATTTTATTGATTGTTTACAGAGAGGAGGGGAGAGGGATAGAGAGAAACATCGATTCAGCTGCCTTCTGCACACTCCCTACTGGGGATGTGCCCTCAACCAAGGTACATGCCCTTGACCGGAATCGAACCCGGGACCCTTGAGTCCGCAGGCTGATGCTCTATCCACTGAGCCAAACCAGTTAGGGCAATCTAGTTTTATTTTGGTACTAAGATGAATCTGTTCTAGTCAGGATCTCCACTTAATATCTAAATTCAGGTGTTTCTCAATAGTTAACACTGGAGAGTAAATTTGAGTTAGATTCAGCTTTCTCAAGTGGTTTTACTTTCTTCCTCCAAACCCCAACTCCTCCCTTTTTATTTAGGAGCAACTTAGAGGCCACCTATAACACAGGGCAGGTTCTTTAGATTTTACATAGTCTTAACTGGCACATAATGTAGTTTAGGGAAGTATGGCTTGATCAAGATTCACTTTGTTTCTTGATGGGCAAGGTAGGATGTTTGTTGTAGAGACGCCATAAATGGAGTAAGATGTTATCAGGAGGGCACCATGTAAGTGTTGCTTCATATGTTCCAGAGCAGTGTTAGTTGCCATTGTTATGCCTAAAATAAATTTTTTAAAATATATTTTTATTGAATTCAGAGAGGAAGGGAGAAGGAGGGATGAAACATCAATGATGAGAGAAAATCATTGATTGGCTGCCTCTTGTACGCCCCCTTCTGGGGATCAAGCCTGCAACCTGGCATGTGCCCCTGACTGAAATTGAACCTGGGACCCTTCAGTCTGAAAGCCAGCACTCTATCCAGTGAGCCAAACCAGCTAGGGCTAAAAAAAAGTTTTTTAATGTTACTATTTTCAGTTTAGAGAGTTACTCAGTCTTGGAACTTGACATTTTATATGTAACCTTTTTCAATCATACCTTTAGAAAGTTGTTTATATGCTTTTGAAAGAAAAATATTTTCTTAAAATTGAAACTAATAAAATTAAAAATGCTGAATTACTCTAATTTTTGTGTGAAGCCTAGTGTTATTTAATAACTATGGTCCCAGGGTTTGTCTTTGAAGGAAGTTCTCATGTAGTTTATTCCATATCAAACTATAGCACTAGGTAATTAATAATATGTACATTTGATACACGGTTGCTAAGCTAACTTGGAAAAATCTTTTCTCTTTCAACTTGCCTCAGTCTGTATCCCAGAGGACTCCTCAGTCAAAAATCAAGTAAGTGTTTCTTTTTCATAAAACAATGCATGATAAATATGCCTAAGGGGAAAAATACCCCTGTTGTTTAATAATAAGCAAGTCCTTACCCTGTGATTTTAAGTGCTTCTTAAAATCATATTATAAAAATCATATTATAGCCTGGAAAAACTAATTCTAAGGCTGTTTACTGATTAGTATTATACTTAAATTAAGGTTAAATTCAGATCATTTGTCTGCTTTAAATTTGTTTTGTGTTATGTCACCTTTCCATATATGAAGGAGAGCCTCTTCCAATTAAGTTATTAATACACAGGTAAATAAGTTGGTAGTAGGCTTGATAGAATTGTAACTTGACCTGCCTTTTATATTTGGAGTAAATTTTTTATGAGTTGAAAATAACTGTTGTTGAGGGCAGCAATTATAATAATGAATAAGCATTTAATAACAAGTATTTGAATTTAGTTTAAATTATTTATTAGCCATGTGTACAACTTGTATTCTGAGGACTGTAACAGAAACACAAGGAATTGATTTGGAGCTTTGCATCCTCACTGAATTTCAGAGGGAAACTGAGATGCTTAAAGTTTCTTTCTTTAATCAGGTGCATTTTAATTACCTGAAATGGCTTGGAAATGTTAAAATAATTTATTCATATTCTTTTTTTTAATTAAAAAATGTTTAAACCTTACGCAAGGATATGTTTATTGATTTGATAGAGAAAGAGAGAGAAACATCAGTGTAAGAGAGAAACATTGATCGGTTGCTTCCCATACGCATCCTGACTGGGATTGAACCCACAACCTAGATATGTGCCAGGACTGCGGATCGAACCTACAACCTTTGCATGGGATGATGCTTCAACCAACTGAACCATCGGCCAGGGCTAATTCGTGTTCTTTGTGGGGAGATAGAGGATGATTCTCCAAGTACCAAGTATACGAGGAACTTTGGTGGCAGCAGCAGGGTAGGATACATAAAGATCAAATAGTTATGATTTTTGGAGCATAAAATATTCCAACATTTATTTAATAAATACACTGTGTTCTAGGCACTTTGCTTGGTCCTGGGAAAATAATAGTGGCACAATAGATAAATAGCTTTGACCTCAAGGAGTTTATAATCCTATACTAATAAAAGACAAACATGCAAATTGACCATACTTTTGCTATGCCTTAAGCCACGCCCACCAGCCAATCAGAGCGACTATATGCAAATTAACCCAACCAAGATGGCGGCCGGCAGCCACAGAGCTGGAGCGAGCAGGAGGCTTGCTTGCTCCAGTGATGGAGGAAGCCAAGGTTCCCCGCCTGCCATGGCCTGGCTCTGAGCTCCACTGAAAGCAACAAAGTTTCAATTATAGAAGCTAAACAAACCCCAGATACCTGCTTTTAGCCAGCCGTGGCCATGGAGCTGGAGTGAGCAGGAGCCGGCTCTCAGCTCCAGTGATGGCAACAAAGTTTCAATTATAGAAGGTAAACAAACCCCAGATACCTGCTTTCAGCAGGCCGTGGCCTCAGAGCTGGGCGCGAGCAGGAGTGGGTTGCCCCTGGTGATGGAGGAAGCCAAGCTTTCCACAGGCCTCCGCTAAAGGCAACAAAGTTTCAATTATAGAAGGTAAATAAATCCCAGAATAAAAAAAGAAGAAAAAAAAGGAGAGGCTGGGAGCTTACGTCGCCAGGGTGCTTGGCCAGCCTGAAAATGGCCCTCAGCCCCTCACCCAGACTGGCCAGGTACCCCAGTAGGGACCCCCCCACCCTAAAGGGGGTGTGGCCAGCCTGAAAGCAGCCATCAGCCCCTCACCCAGGCTGGCCAAACCTCCATGGGGTGAGAGTCCCCAATGGGGTGGACATCCTCCGAGGGGTCCCACACTGCAAGAGGGCATAGGCCAGGCTGAGGGACCCCCCGAGTACACAAATTTTTGTGCACCGGGCTCTAGCCTAGTTTAATTTGAATGTGAGGATTCTTTTATTTTTGGAGCTTTCAGTGGGAAAGATACACAGAATCTCTAGGCACACTAGTTTTCCCACATACCTTGAGATTGAAAAAGGATAATGTATTTAATGTTATGCTTGGCAGGATGAGTTAAACTTTAAATTATTTTAATTTTAGCTCATTTCCTTTTGCTTCCCCGTGCTCAGGGCTGTTGGTTCCTAGCTTCAGTTAAGACAGTGGTTCTCAACCTTCCTAATGCCGCGACCCTTTAATACACTTCCTCATGTTTTGGTGACCCCCAATTTCATTGTGACAAATTGAGCATAATTAAGGCATAGTGATTAATCACTAAAACAATATGTAATTATATATGTGTTTTCTGATGGTCTTAGGCGACCCCTGTGAAAGGGTCGTTTGACCCCCAAAGGGGTCGTGATCCACAGGTTGAGAACCGCTGAGTTAAGAGATCATTGAAGCTGACCTGCATCTAGTGTTACAACTGCCACTGACTGATTGCTTCACCTTTCTGAGCTTGTATCTGTTCATCTGTAAAGTTGGGATTAGAAGTGTTTCTTTTAGTATTAGATTGAAATGAGAGTGTGAAACTATTGATGGTGTATAATAACTGTTAGCCGTTTGGGATAAATTTCTTTAACATTAGCTTAAGCACAACACAATTAAACATATAAGTGAATACCCCAAAAATCATGTAAGTATTTAAATCCAATGGAAAGGTTTGAGGCATCCTATACATTACCATCTGTACTGTTCTATCACTACAGATCGTAGGAAATTAGTTTCGTAAAATTATTTGTGTATCATCAGTTGCTGTGCTAGTTTGTTCCTTAAGGTGGAGCTATTGTTTATCAGATTGTAGTTTTTATCTTGACAAAACATAAGCAACAATAAGAAAATTAGAATTTCTGTTTTAAGTTTCTTTTTTCTTTTTTAATAGGTATGACTGGTATCAAACAGAATCTCAAGTAATCATTACACTTATGATTAAGAATGTTCAGAAGAATGACGTAAATGTGGAATTTTCAGAAAAAAAGGTCATTAGTGTTTGAACTATTTTTTATGTTGAGAGTAAATACTTTTATTTGCAAATATAGTATGTTGCAGAGTAATCTATAGCAGTTTATCAGATATGTCATTTCTTTCTGAGATTATGTGGAAAATGCTGATGGAAATCTAAAGCATTGCTTTCAATTTGCATCATTTTAAGTTTTGAGATAAGAGTATGTATACGGTAGGTTATAGTTAGATGTACGTTCTTTAGATTTTTAATTCAAAGCAGAACTTGACTAACAAATATAAAAGGTGCTAGTAAAATGTGATTTGTTTATATTTGTGTGGTATATACTTCATGAAGAAAGGTCTACTTATTGTATAATTTATACATCTTAGAATTTAACTATATTAAATGAATATGACTTTTAATATCTTGGTTTTTTAATATAGTTACTTAGTAACTATAGTAAATGAATATGACTTTTAATATTTTGGTTTCTCAGCATTTAGTAGAAAACTTTATGATAGAGTTAGTGGCATATGAATATTTTCTTTTATACTGTGTCATTATGCTCACTATATTCTGTTTCCTTGAGATTTAAATATTAAGTATGTGTTTTGAAACATTATTTTCCACTATTTAACTTAATTGTGTATGTGAGAATCCATGTGAAGGATACCAGGTTTTAAAAATGGATTATTTTGAGGTTCATAAATCTGTGTTTAAAATATTCTGCAACGTATTGAAGTTCTGTAATTGTACTTAGTTTAAGTATTTTACCCTTCATTATATAAATTTATAAAACGTGCTGCTAATTTTGTGTTCGTTAGTTGTCTGCTTTGGTGAAACTTCCTGCTGAAGAGGATTACAATTTGAATCTGAGACTTCTTCATTCTATAATACCAGAACAGAGTACGTTTAAAGTACTTTCAACAAAGGTAAGACAATTGAAAAGGGTCGTCAGTAGTAATATTTTCAAAATATAGAAACGTTGGTCAACTAATTACCCGTGTGATTATAAGCTTGTAAATCCTTTCAGCTACATATCTCTAAAAGGGACAGGTAAGTAATGATAATTTGTGCTTGTTTATTTGTTAATCTTCAACTGAGGAAATTTTTTCCATTGATTGTTAGAGAGTGAAAGGGAAGGAGGGAGGGAGGGAGAGGGAGAGAAAGAAACATTATAGATTGGTTGCCTCTTGCATACGCCCAACTGGGGCTGGGATCGAACCTGCAACCCAGGTATGTTTTGCCCTTGACTAGGAATCGAACCAGAGCCCCTTCCATGTGTGGGTCAATGCTCTATCCACTGAACAACACTGGCCAGGACAGTAACCATAATGTTTGAGTAACAATTTTCTCCTCCCTAAATTCTAGGACAATCTATTTCTCTCTCTCTCTCTCTCTCTCTCTCTCTCTCTCTCTCTATATATATATATATATATATATATATATATATATGAATGAATGAAAGCCTAATATGCAAAGTGTCCCCTCAGGAGTTAGACTGGGAGTTTGATTGCTTGCTATGATGTGCGCTGACTACCAGGGGGCGGTGCGGAGTGAAGGGAGGCTCTGGCCAGCAGCCAGAAGGCCCCAATTGGCCCTGATCACCAGCCAGGCCTAGGGACCCTACCCGTTCACGAATTTCGTGCACCGGGCCTCTAGTAGAGCATAAAATTCTACTTAATTTCAGTGGTATCTGTATACTTACTAAGATATGTGTAATACTTCTCAATAAAAAGGTTTTCAGGGGAGAACCAAGATGGCGGCATAAGGTATATACCTGTATGTGCCGCCCCCCACAACCACATTAAAACTACAACTAAAAGACAAAACGGCCATCATCCAGAACCACAAGAAAACTGGCTGAGTGGAAGTTCTACAACTAGAAGGAAAGAAAAAAGCTCATTGAGACTGGGTAGGAGGTGCGGAGGCGGCAAGAGCAGAGGTACACAGGCGCGCGAAACGACTGCAACTGGGCGTGCATTTTTTTTCAATCAGAAGGGAGATACAAGCTCCCGACTGCTCTGAACTCGTTTCCAGCGAGACTCTAGGGACCCAGACTCCTCCAGGGAGAAACTGGATTGTCTGGCAGCAGGTCGGAAAGTGAGGGTGGCTTTCTTGCAGAGCTGCTCGCAGGGATCATTGTTACTGTGGGGGCGCAGGACATGGGGATGCGGAGATGCGGAGACGGCTGACGGACAACCATCACTGTTTGCTCTGCCCTGGTGATTCTCTGAGACCTCGCCCCACCCAATTTACAACCCCACCCAAGCTGTGAGCAGCGGCGCAAATGAATTGCCTGTCCTTTCGCAGCCTAACCTAACAAACTGCAGCTGGGTCAGAGAGCTCCAAAACTTCCAAACCCCAAAGAGGAGAAATCTGCAGATCTCGTTGTAGCTCCTGCTGGGTGGACTCACGCAGCAGCTGACTTTGCACCTCCTTGGACATCCAGGAGCCAGTATACCCAGTGGTCAGACACCAGATTTCAACTCCTCACATCCATAAGTGACACACTCAAGAGGCAGACTCAGTGAGCACCAAATCCCCACTGAAGCAAATCCTGCCCCATAAGGGTGTCTTCACAGCATTTCTTCCACTATAGACACAGCGGGTCCTCACAGTGAATTGGCCTGGAGGTCATTTCCTCCCAGGGATACCAACAACAATCAAGGCTTAACTACAATAAGACTGTGCACCCAGCCCACAAAGGGGTGCACCAAGAGTGTCCATCTCAGGTGATTGGGGAGGCTGAGCCACTGGGCCCAATAGGACACCTACCACACAAAGCCACTCTATCAACACAGGGAAGCAGCCAAAATGCAGAGATAAAGAAACATGTCACAAATGAAAGAAAAGGAGGAAAGCAAACTACTGGATATAGAGTTCAAAACCACAGTTATAAGGTTACTCAAGAATCTTCTACAAACCTCCAAGGAACTTAGTGAGACCTTCAAGGATCTTAATGAGAATGCCAAAAAAATGGAAAAGGACCAGTCAGAAATTAAGCATACACTGACTGAAATAAAGAATAATATGCAGAGATCCAACAGCAGACTAGAGGATCGCAAGAATCAAGTCAAAGATTTGAAATATGAGGAAGCAAAAAACACCCATCCTGAAAAGCAAAAAGAAAAAAGAATCCAAAAATATGAAGATAGTGTAAGGATCCTCTGGGACAACTTCAAACGTACCAACATCCGAATTATGGGGGTGCAAGAAGAAGAGAGAGAGCAAGATATTGAAAGCCTATTAGAAGAAATAATGACAGAAAATTTCCCCTACCTGGTGAAAGAAATAGATTTACAAGTCCAGGAAGCAAAGAGAACCCCAAATAAGAGGAATCCAAAGAGGACCACACCAAGACACATCATAATTAAAATGCCAAGAGCAAAAGACAAAGAGAGAATCTTAAAAGCAGCAAGAGAAAAACAGTTAGTTACCTACAAGGGAGTACCCATACGACTGTCAGCTGATTTCTCAACAGAAACCATGCAGGCCAGAAGGGAGTGGCAAGAAATATTCAAAGTGATGAATAGCAAGAACCTACAACTAAGATTACTCTACCCAGCAAAGCTATCATGTAGAATAGAAGGTCAGATAAAGAGCTTCACAGACAAGAAAAAGCTAAAGGAGTTCATCACCACCAAACCAGTATTATATGAAATGCTGAAAGGTATCCTTTAAGAAGAGGAAGAAGAAGAAAAAGGTAAAGATAAAAATTATGAACAACAAAGCGACAACAAATACATATCTATCAACAAGTGAATCTAAAAATGAAGTCAGTTAAAAAAATATGATGAACAGAATAAACTGGTGAATATAATAGAAGTAGGGACATAGAAAGTGAGTGGGAAGAGGGTATGAGGGGTGCGGGAAGAGATTGGACAAAAATCTTACACCTATGGATGAGGACAGTGGCTCGGGGGTAAGGGCATGGGGTGGGGTGGGAACCAGGTGGAGGGGAGCTATGGGGGGAAAAAAGAGGAACATCTGTAATAATTTGAACAATAAAGATTTATTTTTAAAAAAAGGTTTTCAAAAAAGATATAATAATCAGCCTCTGTTTCAATTTGATACTGACAATGACTCTTCTCTTGAACTTGTTTTGACATACAAATACTTTTCTCACCCTACCTTATACAGTTAAAAATATAAACTACTATCGCTGAAACCGGTTTGGCTCAGTGGATAGAGTGTCGGCCTGTGGACTGAAAGGTCCCAGGTTCGATTCCGGTCAAGGGCATGTGCCTGGGTTGCGGGCACATCCCCAGTAGGAGATGTGCAGGAGGCAGCTGATCGATGTTTCTCTCTCATCGATGTTTCTGACTATCTCTCTCCCTTCCTCTCTATAAAAAATCAATAAAATATAATAA